TCTCTGAATGAGCTACATAAGCTACAGTAATCCTTATAGTCTTATAGATAGCATTACTGTAGTTTATTAGGATAAGATCCTAAAATTCTGAGATTTTAAAATTCTGAGATTCTGAGATTCTGAGATTCCAAAATTCGGAAATTCAGGAATCCGAAAATTAAAAATTAAATTCAAAATCTGAAAACTCGAAAATCTGAAAATAAGCGAAATCTGAAAGTTTCTGAACTGAAAAACCCGGAAAAATCTGAAATTTCAACAAAATCTGAAAATTTGAAAATTTGAAAATTTCCAAAAAAATCTTGAAAAATTCTAAAATTCTGAAATTTGAAAATTCGAAAGCTCTGATATTCTGAAATTCTGAAACTATGAAATACTGAAATTTTCAAAATTTGAAACTCGGAAAAATTCTAAAAAGCGGAAATTCGAAACTTCCAAAATTTCCAAAGAAATCCAATTATGACTCAGAATTGTTTATTTTCAGAATTTCAGAGTTTCGCCACGTCATCTGAAATAGAAGGCGTCACGTCTTCTTCTTCTTTTCTTCTATTTCTACTCAGCTACAGTAATCCTCCGGTCCCACTTATCTTGTCGTTTCTCTTCCGCATTTCAAGTTTTTCCCCCTAGAATTAAGTGGATTTTCTGAATTTTCAAAAAAAAAAACAGAACTAGGAAAAATAAAGGAGTGTGAGAAAAAAGTGAAATGTTTTGGAAGGAAATTCGGAAATTGGATGGAAGATTTGGGAGAAAAAATATTGAGAAATGGCGAGGAGAGAAAAGAAAATTATAGATTGTGAGAATTCTGAAAATGCCGGGGATTTGAATGAAAAGTTTGAAAAATCGAGAATATTTGAAAGAAAAGAGAATCGGGAACGAAAAATTGGAGTTTTCAGATTTGAAATTCGAAATATCGGACTTTTGAGTTTCGAAAAATTTGACATTCAGGGAGGCATAAATAGAAGTTAAAAAGTCTGAAAATTCTGAAATTCCGAAATTTTTTTTTTACGATTTTCAAAACTTTTGAAAGTTTCAATATCCAAAAATCTCAGATTCTTTGAATTTTAAAAATTTTCTTGTGGAATTTTTGAATTTTTGAATTTTTGAATTTTTGAATTTTTGAATTTCAGAAAATTGAAGTTCGGAATTCGCGATTTTTTCCGATTTTTAAAATGCGATTTTCCCAGAAATAGAGAACTTCTGAATTTCTGAATTTCAGAATTTCAAAATTTCTGAATTCCTGAATTTCTAAATTACAGCATTACAGAATCTCTGAATCTCAGGATCTCAGGATTTCAAAATTTTGGAATTCCAGAATTTTGGAATTCCAGAAATGATCTGATTTTTAGGATTTTCGGAATTTCTGAATTTCTGAATTTCAGAATTTCAGAATCTCAGAATCTCAGAATTTCATAAATTTTGGAATTACTGTACTCCGTTTCTAACTGTAGCTTCTTTTTCATCTTCTTCAGATTACTGTACTACGTGGACTACTGTATCGCGCTTTTAGATTTCGTAATCCACAGAACTCAAAACATAAATGAGCTACAGGAATCCATCAAGATTACAGTAATCTCTGAATGAGCTACAGTAATCCATAGACTAGCTGCAAATATTCTCATTAGGATCTATGTAGCTAGTCTTTGGATTACTGTAGCTCATCCAGCAACTACTGTAGGTTTCATTCATTCGAATTTTCGAATTTTCTTGAAATTCTAGAAATTTTGTTTTCCATGAACTAATTTCCTAAAATTTCGAATTCTGCATCTCAGTTTTTCTAACTTTCACAATTTAGGAATCTTAAAATTTCAGAATCTTAGAATTTCAGGGTTTCAAAATCTCTGAATTTCGGAATTTCAGAAATTCCATATTTCAAAAATTGGCGAATGTTTGAATTTTTGAAAATCCTGAATTTCAGTATTTCAGAATTTCTTAGAATTTCGATTTCTAGAAATTCTGAATTTCCAATTTTCAGAATTCCCAAATTTCTGACTCCGCCCCTTTTTCATCATCCTGTTCTCTGTTTCAAAGATATCAATTTCATTTTCCAAAAAAAAAAAAAGTAACTCCAAAAAATTTTGGGACCATCATCCCAAGAATTTCCTTCTTTGGTCCCATTGTTTGACGTCACAAAATGTGTGAAAATCGTCTGTTTTTTTGTGTGATTTGATACTTTTTTCCTCCTTTTTTCTCTCTTTTTTTCCTTATTCCATAGATGACGTGAAACAGAAGAAGAAGAAGAAAAAGGAAGTGAAATTCTTTTTTCGAAAAAAAAAAAACGGATTTTCTTTTCTCTTACCCAGACACATCCGGGTCACCATCATTTTTTAAAGAATCGTTTTTTTGGGATGAGCAATGGGAAAAATGAAATGTTTGAATTTCTGAATTTCTGACTCATCTGAAAATTGAGAGGGTTGAAAAACTACAAACTACAAAAATTTTGTCTTAGATTCTTAGTTCCTTAGATTCTGAGATTCTGAGATTCTGAGATCCTGAAACTCTGATATTCTGAGATTCTGAGATTCTGAGATTCAGAAAATCAGAAATTTCAAACTTCGGACATTCTGAAATTCTGAAACTCCGATATTCTTAAAATTTCAGAAAGTCAGCAATTAAGAAATTCAGAAATTCAGAAATTCAGAAATTCAGAAATTCAGAAATTCAGAAATTCAGAAATTCAGAAATTCAGAAATTCAGAAATTCAGAAATTCAGAAATTCAGAATTTCTTAAATTCATAAATTCATAAATTTAGAAATTCATAAATTCAGAAATGCAGAAATTTTTAAATTCTGAGATTCTGATATTCTGAGATCCTGAGATTCTGAAATTCTGAGATTCTGAGATTCTGAGATTCTGAGATTCTGAGATCCTGAGATCCTGAGATTCTGAGATTCCGAGATTCTGAGATCCTGAGATTCTGAGATCCTGAGATTCTGAGATTCTGAGATTCTGAGATTCTGAGATTCTGAGATTCTGAGATTCTGAGATTCTGAGATTCTGAGATTCTGAAACTCTGAGATTCTGAAACTCTGAGATTCTGAAACTCTGAGATTCTGAATTTCTAGATTTCTGAATTTCTGAATATCCGAATTTCGAATTTCAGAGTTTTTGAATTTCCGAATAATTTGAATTTTCGAAAAAATCGGAATAATCTGAATATCGGGAAAAAAACAGCAAAAAACGAAATATGGGAAATTTGGTATCCATGGTTTAACGCCTTCTGGGCGCTTGGCAACAATAAAATTTTGGAAATTCTCTTTTGGATTTTCTTTTTGATTTTTTCTGGAAGTGTCCAAGACTACAAACTACAAACTGCAATTTACAATCTACAGTGAAACTTTTATATTTAGAGGAATCAAATTTGCATAGTTTTAAGAAAAAAATTAAAGAATTTTTGAAAATTTCAATTTTGGATCAAAAACTACATCACAAACTACGCATTTTGGTAAAAGAACCAATTTCTTAGCTGACCTGGGAGCCGAGATACAGTCATTTGAAGTCCAGGAGGGACGCAGACAGCGAGAGCACTCTAACTGTCTGCGTCTCTCGCCTCTTAAACCTAAAACAGCTGTATGGTTTCAAACCGAGCTAGAGAATCAAAACTTTGACTGTTGAGTGTTATTTTTTGTGTGTTTTCAGGTTGACTGTGTCCTGGATGTTTCAAATCACAGAACGTTTTCGATAATTTAGATTATTTCGAAAATGTGAAACTTTTATCACAAACTACACAAAAACCTACGCAGTTTGTTGAAAGAACCAGATTCCTAGCCCGCCTGGGAGCTGAGATACAGGCGTTTCAAGTTTCAGAGAGACGCAGACAGTTAGAATGTCTCGCTGTCTGCGTCTGTCGCCTTCTAAACTTCAAACGGCTGTATCTCACCTCACAGTTGAGCTAGAAAATTGGTTCTTTTTCCAAAATGTGTATTTTTTAATCTAGTTTTTGATCCAAATTTCAAATTAGCGAAAATTCCAAAAGAAAAACCGTGTTTTTGGAGTTTTCAGAAAATCTGCCTTTTTCAAAAAAAGAAAACTATGCAAATTGGATTTCTTCTTCTTCTCCTTTTTTTTCAAAATCTCGTCAACATTTTTTTCTTCCCGCCGAGAGAAAAAATGAAGTGGATGTGCACTTTTTTCGGAATATCCTGACGTCTTCTTTTTTTCGAATTCTGAAGAGAAATAAGAAGATGTCCATGTCTTCTTCTTATTCTTCGTTTTTTAGAATATTGTTCCCTCGGGAGAAGAAAAAGTAGACGTCAGGAGAGCAAAATTTTTGATGGATAGAGGGAAAACTTTTTGAGTTTCTCTGGATTTTTCTGAATGAAAATGGGAAAAAAAAGAGAAAGGGACCAACAAAAACTGGGAAATTTCAAAAATCCAAAAATTAAAAAAAAAAGAAACAGAAAAATTGAAAAATCGGGAAATTTTTGAAGAAAACTGACGATCGGTGGACTACAAACTACAAACTACAAAAACTACAACGACTACAAACTACAAACTAAAAACTACAAAGACTAAAAACGACAATTTTTAAAGAAACGGACGATTGGCGGATGACTAACTAACGGATGGATGGATGGTTTAGGCGCTACAAAGACTACAAACTACAACCTACAACTTTTTTTCGAATTTTTGTAAATCGCGATTTTCAGAATTTTCTGGAATTTCTGGTCTAGAAAGTCCTACATTTTTTAATTTGCTGGAATTTCAGATTTTTCGAAATTTTCAAATGTTAGAAATTTTAGAAACTTCAGAGACTACAAAGACTACAAACTACAAAAATTACGAAGACTTGTAGTCTTTCTGGAAATTTCGAAATCGCGAATTTCGGAATGTTCCGGAAATGCTATTGTTTTTTGAAATTTTCGAAAATTTCAAATGACAGAATTTCTAGAAACTACAAAATCTATTGGAAATTTTGAAACAGCGAAATTCAGAATATTTTGGAAATTTATCTTGGACCAAAAAATATTGGGAATTTGAAAACAAACTACAAAGACTACAAACTACAGTTTTCATTAAAAACGGACAGTTGGCGGGGGATTGACGGATGAATGAGGCGCTTCGGAGACTGCAAACTACAGTGGCTACAAAATCTACAAACTACAGTGGCTACAAAAACTACAAAGACTACAAAGAAACGGCAGGTTGGCGGATGACTGACAGTTTAAGGACCTACAAAGACTACAAACTATAAAAAGTGCTGACTACAAAAACAACGAACTACAAAGACTGCAAAGACTACAAAATACAAACTATAGAGATTACAAACTACAAACTACCATTTTTGAAGAAAACGGACGATTGGCGGATGACTGACTGGCGAATGTGTAGTTTAGGGGCTACAGAGACACAAAGGTTACAAAGGCTACAAAGACTACAAACTACAACTTTTCTTTGAATAAAACATTTATGAATTTTATGAAATTTTCAAATTACTGGAATTTCAGATTTTTTCGAATTTTTGAAATTTTCAGCTTTCCGAAATTTCTGGAATTTCCAAATTTTTGGAATTCTAAATTCTCTGAAATTTCAAAAATTCAAAAACCAACAAAATCCAATATAAGCCCCGCCCACTTTTTGCATTTTCAAAAAAAAACGAAAAAAGATTCGCCAAAAGGAGTGGATAATTGACTCAATTTCACTGGATTTTTCGAGTCATGTGGAGATTTTCCGAAGAAAAAAAAAAAGAAAATTGGCTTCGTTTTTCAAATTTTTTGGAAAAAGAAGAGAAAAGAAAGCTGAGCAATGTTGTGAAAATTACAGGTTTTTTTCGAGAATCATGTGATTCTTTCTTGAGAAGAGATGAAAAGAAAATTGGGCTCATTTAATGATAGAAAAAGCTTTTAGAAAAAAAAATTTTTTTGGGGACCAGAATTTTTTCCACGTCATCTGAATCCCCACGTCTTCTGCTTCTGAATCCTCAGCATCCAAATTTTTGATTTTCCGCTGAAATTACCGTTTTTGTTAGAAAAACGTTTTTTTTCGAATTTTTTTTTGAGGATCTCCACGACGTCATCTGAATCCCTGACGTCTTCTGGATTCTGAATCCTAAAAATCTGGAAATCCAAATTTCCGCTGAAATTTCATTCATTTTACAAAAACACAATCATGAGGGAGAGATGTCACCATATCAATATGAGAAAATAATCATCGGGTGGGGGTGGAGCCAAAAAGTGGGCGGAGCCAAATA